TGCCGATTCTGCCTTGGAGCCAGCCAGACAGGGACCCTTACCATGGCCCAAAACAAACCTCTCCCTCCTTAAACTGCAGGTATTCGGTATTTGTTCCCAGTGACGAGGACAGTGACTAGGGCAGACATACATGAGTCTTTTGAGGGCCAGAGGTGGGATGTTATGATTCCGACCTAGAGAGCCTCCCTAAGTCCCCCTGCGCTCAGAGGCGGGGCTTTGGAAGGTGACTGCACCATGAAGATGGGATACTCCCCAGAAGTAAGTGAGCTGTTCAGAGGTGGCGCCTGGCTGCAGGTGGAGCACTACGGACGTGACCTGGAAGGGTACATCTTCCTCCCTGGCTCCTGGCTCTTCGACCTCTGCCTCCTGGTCACAGTGATGTGAGCACCTTTCCTTTGTGGCAGACCCTTCCCCAGTGTCATTCTGCATGGGAGCCCAACGACTGGCCTAGAACTGTGAGCCAAAATAGACCTCTCCTCCTTTACGATAAGGGGGGTCCGTATGCTGTCCCAGTGATGAGGAGAGTGACTACGGCAGATTTGAACACAAACTGCATAAGTACCAGCCTTGGATAAGTACCAGAGCATGTTTGGTCTTGTGCTTTCTACCCTAACTAGCCAGGCTCCCCTGTTATGTTGATTGCTAGAGACTAATAAGTGGGTAGCACAAGATCTCTCTTCTCTAGCTGATGGGAATACAAACTACACTAATACTTTGGTTCACAAACACTTCTGTTTGCAAATAATTTGGTTCACAAACAAAAGCCTTTGGCAAAATTTTGTTTCTGTTCTCAAACTCTACTCCATGTGACCAACACGACCACAACCATCTTCCCCACACAAATACAAACAAGGCTATCCCCCCCGCCAATCAGAAAACAAATTAAGTTCATAAACTGAGGCACCACTGTATTTCCAGCCCTGGATAAGTACTAAAAATTGGTTTATAGTCTTTGGTGGTTTTTATCCCAGCCTCACAGAGCTTCACCCTTCCACTACACAGATCAGTCAGTACTCTATGGAAGATCCAGGAAATACTCCTGCACGTGGCCATGGCTGTCCTTGTGCGCTACTTCCTCCTCCCTGTAAGTCTGCCCACTGCCTCCTTAAATCCCCAGCTCTGTCTCCTTCCTGCACTCTATCAGGTCTACACCCTGGACATCCTTCCAGGTAGCAAGCAGGCATCGTGGCAGAATTTTACACTTATTCCCCTTCTCTCAGGGGCTACAACCCTACATAACCTGTTGTCTAAGGTCTGAAAACTATTACTTCATGTATTTCCCCTATTTTCTAGTTATTTCTAGTAGGAGGGCAACTCTGTACAAGGAAAACTCCAAATGTTTAAACCTAACGGTTTACACCTAAATAAAAACTTGAATTGTGTTGTTTGTCCTTAAAATTCATACTCAGAGATGCAAAACCCCTCATATTAACATAGTAAGGCTTTTGGGGAAATGTTTTTTAGGGGATCTCTGACAACTGTGCTTTCCAGTATGGCAGCCAGCAGTCACATGAAGCCACTAATCACTTTACTATGGCAAGTTCTTGAAGGCATAACTCACACATCCAATATCCAAGACTTCATATTTTTTAAAAGGCTGTAATGTACTTATTAGTTTTTATATTAATTAGATGTTAAAATGACAGTCTTTTAGACATTTGGGGTTAAAATTATATTTATAAAATTAATCTCATCTGCTTCCTTTTACCTTTTTAATATTGCTATTTAATATTTCTTCCCTGTGTGACTCACATTATTTTTCTTTCTTTCTTTATTTATTTTTTGGCACCGGGGATCGAACTCGGGTCCTTGCGCTTGCGCAGCAGGCGGGGAAACCACTGAGCTACATCCCCCAGCCAACTCACATTATTCTCTTAATGGCCAGTGCTGCCCTCCAGCAAGATTTCCTGGCAGAGCCATTTCTTGGTTCGTGAAATTCTACTCGCAGCGACTTTTCTTGCTACCTCACTGTCTTCTGCTTCTCAGGCTCCTCTTCTGAAACCTAAATTTGCTGTTCTCAAATCTTATTATGGTCCAAAATCTCTCACTGGCGCCTGTTAAAGAGCAGACTCTTGGACCTCATATCAGAGATTCTTTCCTGATAGACCAGCGTGGGGCACCGAGATTCTGATTCAGTAAAACAGAATGAGGGTCCACAAATATGGAGCAATTTCAGCTCTACTCTTCCTCATTTTGCCCTGTATACTCCTTGGGTAATTCACCTTCTTAACCCCATCCCATCCCTCAAAATAAAACTATTATTACTCACAAGCTAACATTTATCCAAAGTATTATCTTCCAAGTCAGATTCCTCTCATGTCCTGAGCTGTGTGACTCTTCCCTGAATGTCTCGTGTAGCTCATCCAAAATTTAGATACCAATCTCTCCTTCTCCCCTTTTTGTCCTACCAGTTACCAAAACTCAAACCCTAAAGTCATCCTCTCCTTTCTAACATCCATGTTTAATCAGTTACAACATGCTGCTATTGCTCTTGCTTAATTTCTATCCTCTCAGTGCCTTCTTACTCCCTTTAGGGCAGTGTTTCTCAATCTAGCACTACTGAAGTATTCAGGCAGATAACTGCCATTGTGGGGATTTTCCTGAGTGTTGTAGGATGTTTAGATACAAGTGGCAGCCCCAAGTTGCTACAATTGAAAATGTCCAAGAGTGAGCGACGGGGGGAAAGGAATCACTTCTCTCCCACAGAGCCACTGCTTATCAATCACCTGCATGACACCAGAGACTTCACACCTTGACAGAACTGTGCCTTCCCTCCATGCTTCGCCTTCTTACAGTTTTACAGTTTTCATCAGAATAAAACCCAGTCTCTCTAACATGGTATTAAAACAGCATATTTGTCTTCTACTTGCCTCTCCAGGTTTCTACTCCACCCATACTGAATTCCTTTGCAATTTAATTAGACATGGGTGAAATTCATATGAGATGTTAACTACAGACAGTAAGCAAGCTAGTAGCTTATAAGACAAATGCACAACTCCTAGGAGGTTTTAAATATAGAATGTGAGTAAGCATATACTCTGCAAAACACAGGCAGAATTGTGTTAAATATACACAGTAAGTTAGTAAACTATAAGACATGCCCAAGTTAAAGCAAATAGAAAATATGACAGAACAGGGAGTCACTTAAAGCTGAAAATGATGGAAAAAATTATTATGAACAATCATGGACTGACAACTGTCAGGCCTAAATCAGCCACACATCCACACATCAATGACACCTAGAATAGTCTTGTGTTTTTCTACCCAAGAAATGGAAATAAAACCTATGGCTGATCAGCAGCCTAACTCATCAGTTCTTGTTGGGAGCAGACACACTTCCATGCTTCTCTCCAATAGCGTGAGTGTGTGTCATGGCCCTAAAGCATCTTCCACCTGCAGGTCTCCCTCCCAAAACCTCAACTGCAGTTCTCACGAGCATCTTGAATCAAATTTGTTCACTTCAAGCCCCAACCTCGCCCTCCTGGAATCCTGCTGCACAGTAGTACTTCTCATTTCACCCTGCCCTATGTTTCTACTAGGGTATTCATCACTCCACACTCTGATCAACAGTTTACTCCTCTGTCTCTCTCACTAGTCTACGAGCTTGTTGGAAGCAGGAGTAAATTTTCTGTTCTGCCTCAGTATTCCTTAACATAATACCAACCACAACATAACCAGCAAAGGAACTCTTCCCGGGTCATCTCCTGCAGACACAGGTAAGGGAATGACCCATGGCTTTTGTCTCTCACTCCTAAGTCTGAGTCTGGCGTAGAATAGGGAGTGTCAAACCGTGTCTCTCTAAAGGACGAAAGTTATCAGAAGGACTTACAGCGAGTGTATAAAATTCCCGGTCCTCACGGGCCTTGGTGGATGTATTAGTTACTTTTCTCTCATTGCTGAGACAAAATATCTGACACACAAAGTTTGAGGGAGAAAGGTTTATTTGGTTTACAGTTCGTAGAGGTTTCAGTCCATAACAGGCTGGTTCCAAGGCAGGGTGGCAGAGGGGCAACAGTTCATGGGGGTAGAAGACAGCAAAAGCCACGAGGGCAGAAGCAAGCGAGGGGCCCTCAACAGCATCTCTCTGCCCCTTTTATCTTCGGCAGATTAGCTGGGGAGGCGGGTAGCACGCACACCCTCAGTCCCAGCGCCCTGGAGCCTAGCATTGCGCCATGAATCAACTCCAGAAAGGGGAATTACACCTATGACTGCATGAGGCTTTGGGGGGACATCAAGAACCACGCCATAACAGTGGGCTTTATCTTACTTCCCTGTCCCACGATTTTCATTAGGTGCTTACAACGACAATTTTAGGTTTTGCTTCCTTCCCGCACTTCGAAAGCTCAAGCACTTCCCTCGGGGAGCCGCTGAGCCCCGGCGCTGCCCCGGCGGAAAGGCTCGTCGGCGCCCCCTTGTGGCCGGCAGTGGGGTGCGAGAGGGAGGCCCGGTCCCGCGGAAAGCGCCTTCGTCTCCTCGGAGCCTAAGCGTTTCTAACGCCGTTTCCGTAGTGGGAACACCGGAGGTGCACCTGGAATACATTTCTCTTGAATGAAAGAAGCCGGCGGAAACGCGGAACCCCGAACGAAGCCCGCCGAGGAGGTGGATGGGACACATTCGCTTCCCTTCGGGCTGGGGACTCTGGGAGCAGAAGCCTGGTTTTCGTGCACAGTGGGGACTCAGCGGGACCTGTGTCTGGCAGGAGACCCCCCCCCCCCCGCGGCCTCCCGAGAAAGGACGGCACACGCCCGGCACGCTGTGAAGCCTCCCTCGCCCGCCTCGGCTCGCTCCCGGCCCCGCCCCGGAGGCGGCCGGTCGCGCGCCGCTCTAGGCCCCCGGCCCGCTTCCTCGATGGTGACGCCGCCTCTCTAGCCGGCTCGCCGTCCTCTCGCGGGCAGCGCGGGACCAGCCGGAAGTGAGTGCACGGGCCCGGAGCGAGCGCGGACAGTGGGGGGCGGTGGGGGGCTGCGCGGGGGGGCTGGGGCTCTGCTGGTCTCCGCTGCCCCGCGGCCCGTGGGTGCGAGCGCTCGGCGCCGCCCTGCGGGAGGCCGGGCCTAGAATGCGGCTCCCTCAGGGTCCCCCAGCTCGAAGCTGCTCGCTTCGAGACGAGAAGCCCTGGTGGTGCGGAGGCCGAGGAACCATCGCCCACCGCCCCGCTGCCGAGAGCTCGGGGCCCCGGCGGCCCCCGGGAGCCCGGGCGTCGCGCCTGTGGCCACGCGGTCCGGGCCGGAGGGAGCTGGGGACCGCCGGAGAGCGGGGTTTTCGCTCAGAAGCGCGGTTCGCGCCTGTTAAGTGCCAGTGTCGGCTCCTTAGAGATGCCGCAGCTGCTGACAGCAGCCCCCGGGGTCCCTGGCTCTCGCGGGTTTAGTGGCAGCGGGAAGGCGAACAGGTGGCAGAAAAGCCTGCGGAGCTCCCGTGAGAAAGGAAGCCCCGAGGACACTCCTTCAGTGGCTGGTGGAGGGAATGACCCCAGGCATTGCTGGGCCCGTACGCACCCCGGAGAGGTAACGGGTTCAAAACACCGAGTGCTGTGCGAACCCAGGGAGGACTGCGAAGAGTAGGTAGCTCTTGGTTGAGGCTGCACCCGTCCGCTGAAAGTGCCGCCGGTGTCTTGAATGTGTGTGTGATCAAGGCGCCCCGCGGTAAGGGCCAAAGACTTTCCAAGCAGGGGACGCGGTGGAGTAGACAGGAACTTTATAGGTAGTGCCTTTTGGCCTGAATATGTGGCATTTAGAGCAGCTTACACTATGCTGTTTTGCAGGAAGAAGTGAAAGTTTTGTGTGTGTTTTTCAACAGCATGGATACTGTTCAGTTTCACAATCATTCAGCGTCCTTTGTGTTAATAAGTATTGGTTGGCTGCATCTAGTACTTAGGGTTAGAAAGTTAAAGCTATATAAGAGCAGTCATTATCGTGAGATATATTTTCTCTCACCTACCCTACGAATACGGGAAGAAAAGCGAGTCCCCTTAGTCCTCAGCTCCCTCTGCTGTTGATTTTTGGTTATGGGAGTTTCCTCAGTGAACATGGTGTTCTGCTTGAACAGCTTCAGACAAGCAAGAAGCAGCCTTGTAAGAGGTTGGTCAACTTCCTCAGCCCATCTAACTTGAGTTACTGTATAGATTGATCATGGATAGGAGGAGATAACACTTAATCACCCATTTTGAACCTGATCAGTGAAGTTAAGATGAATAATCCCCTGTGCTGGCCATGTTCAAATTATGAGGAACAAGTTTCTGTTTACTACTTAAGGTGTGTGATAAATCTGTTGTACATTTATTTCGTCTCTTGATCCTTTTGGTAGTGCTAAGAAAACAGTAAGCATTAATCTTAGAATCACAAAAATCATAGTATACCGTGGTACTGCAGCAGTGATAAACAGGAGAGTGTCCAAGGTGTAGAATGTTTAAAAAGAAAATGTCAGACAACCCTGGGCTTAACAAGGCGAGGGCATTGCAAAGGATTATTGCACGAAAAGAGAAGCAACTAGGTGGGAAGAAGTTACCGACAGATCTGAGGCTCTCAGGTGTAGGAAAGAAGGAAACTGCTAGTAGGAACTTGTGGAGGAGGGGAGAAATAAGGGCACCTTGACCTGAGAGGAGACGAGTTTTGCCGAGGTGGCCGTTCTCTGGAGGGCTTGTGTTTGCTGGCTGTGTGGCTGATGAGTGACAAAAAGTCAGGGACCGGGAAGCTGAGGAGTTTAAGTTTGGTTAATAAGTATTTTGTTCCAGCTGGCCCTTGGGGACAGGCAGTTCAGCAAGTCATCGTGAGTGTACAAATGAAGCAGCAACTGCAATAGCATTTTTGTCTGCTTGGTCAGAGGTAAACAAAGGGCATCCTCTTGGATGAAATGCTTGAGGATTTCTTTACTTATGGCCATGAAAGAACCAGCAACACAGGGCTCAGGTAGACGATCACCTATTACAAACATCTGTACACAGAGATCTTGGGAAACCCATTGACCCATTCGGGAGTTAGTGTTAGTAAATCTGTAACACTAGCTGTAGTTTTGAAAGTATTTGAAGCCTTGGGTTTCATATGCATGATGGTGAAATCTTGCTAAGTTTGGGAAGGAAAATCCAAATTAATGATATCTAAGTTAACAAATTAAAAGGTATTTTGTTTGTTACCTGTTATCTCAGGAAATGATTTTTCCCCCTTCCATTGAAGGTTCTCAATATACTGACCAAAATGATTGGCTGAAGCAAATTGATTTTTTCCTGTTAAAAGACAATTTTCCGCAGAAGGAAAGGGAGTTAACTCATGACTGTCACGCAGATATAAACGAGCACATGATGAAGATTCTTATGTAACTCATTAATCAGGTAACTGATAAGATGTTAGAAATCAGTTTAAAAAGGAAAAGCACTTGCATTTTAGATCATTGAATTATCTGCAGGATGCATCGCCAACTGTAACACACCTGTGAATTATCTGAGCATCACTTTGAAAAATGTTGCTTCCAATTCAGTGGGTTTAGGGTTGGCACTGAGATTCTACATCACTACTCCAGACCCCAGTTAATGCCAGTACAGGATCATAGACAATAAGTAATGCATTTCTGCCTGGTAATTAAGGAAGGGTTGGGCAGATCATCCTCATGGAAGAACAGAGCCCTGTGCTACAGGTAAAGGGAACTAATCTCAGTTGAAGAAAATAAATATTAATTGTAGACTGCATTGCCAGATCACAAACCAAAATGAGCAGAGAAGCAGTTGCTAAGAAACAGATCCAAAGTAGAACTCTTAACTTACAGGGGGAGGAGAGAAAGAACTAGAAATGAGGACCTTGCCCAGGATAACAGAGGAGGTGTGGCCGGAGAGTGCAGTGTTTGGGAGGCAGATGGTGACCACTTAAGAGAGATCAGTGCTTGAGATTTGTGCCTTGTGAGCTAGCCTGACTTTGGTAGCAGTACCTGAGCGGACTGCCTAATCCTGGATTGGGGCGCTAACCTAAATAAGACTTCACAAATAAAACTGCCTGCACTTGCACCCTGATCGTTTACTCACGTGATGGTGTTGATACGCCAATGAGTTTTAATTCATGTGCACACATTTCTTATTGCAGTAGACAGTATATCTCCTATCAGATAGGACATTTTAGTTTTAAACTCAACAATTCCTATAATTTGTTCAGAGGGAACTTGGTTTTCTTTATCCAAAAGGTGGGAGCGAGCTAGCACCAAAGAAAGCTCTACTTACTAGAAGATGCAGAAAGTGGGGTGTCAGCTTTAGCAAATAAAAATACAGAATGCTCAGTTAAATTTGAATTTCAGACAAATAATGAATTACTTGGGACATAATTAAAATGAGTTACTTGAGTATTATCAGAAATTCAAACTTAACTGAACATTCAGTATCCAGTGGTAATTGTAGATAATTCTACCCCAACAATGACTTCTGAGAGAGGGTTGATTGAAAAATAGTGCATTTACAGTAATTGTACAGGTAGTTTGGTTCCCACAAGTCTTCCTTCAAAAATTATAGGACTACTCCCATCAAAAAATGGGCCAGGGGCTCCGGCTCAAGGGTAGAGTGCTTGCCTAGTATGCACAAGATCTTGGGTTTGATTCTCTGCATCTCAAAAAGAAATATAGTAATAGTTATAATACTCTTAAGGGCTTGAGTTTGAAAAATAAATTTACCAAATCACAGAATACTTTTCCTATCAAATGTAGACATGGAAGCCCAAGTTTGAACACTAGGAATCGTTTTTTTAATAAAATAATCATGATATCAATTAGTAGTTACAAACTGTGATTGATAACCTACATATAGGATCTGTGGCATTAACAAGACATTACCTTGAAAGTGGCCTGTATATCTTTGAATAGATGAATGGATAAAGAAAATGTATTTATACCCGATGGAGTACTACTCTGTAATGAAGGATAAATTTTAGTCATTTCTACGAAAATGGATGAATCTTGAGACTTTACTGTTAAATGAAATAAATCCCACACACAAGCTTAAATATTGCAGTTCCTCTTACATGAGAAACCCATAGTATAGATAATTTGAAGAGCAAAACACAAGATAAGTAATAAGAAACAGGAAGGTAGATCTTTTGCAAATGGGAAGGGGACCAGGAAAGAAATGGAAGGAGGCAGACGGAGAGAGGGGGAAAGAAAAGTGAAAAGTATTGAGATGTGTTGTGTACATGTACCTGCTCACGGGAATGTAATCATTATGTACTGCATTCGTACCAGTGAATGTTTCTAAAAATAAGATGCTAACCATTAGTAGTTTCCATAAGGAGCTCCAAGGTGGTTGATCTACTTTCCTTTATATTGACTATAAAGAAAGGTTAGGGCCCGATGATTTGTATCCCATTTTTGCTAAGATATGTTCCCACATAGTTTGCCCTTCAGTAACTTATCTTGTCTTCCTCTTTTCTATGCCTTAGTTTATCTTAACTCAGTTTTTCTCTATGAGGAGAAAAGGTGTAATATGATACAAGCCATTTTATTTGATGAGACTGGGTCCTGTGTTTGCTAAAATTTTTTAGTTGACTAAAATAGAATAAAAAGATACATGCATACTTTCAACTGGCTTTTCAATTTGTAAGTTAAAATATTCAATAACATTTAACCCTTTAACGTGTATTATTAGCTTTCTAAATTGAGAATTTTGACTTAAAACAGCGATGTACATTTATTCACCAGATTTTGTTACAGGAGTCCAGAGTCTTTGTATATGGTTTTATTGATTGCTATCTCTGCAAAAACCATCCATATCAAAAAGTATCCAAGGTGGGTTTTTTTTAATGGAGCAAAGCTTACAAACATTTACAAAATTGAGAATCTTAGATTTCACAGCCCCCCACCACCACCCAGATTTCAATGGTTCACATCTTTTCTCAGCAGGATTTTTTTCATGCCTTGCGTGTGTTGTACCTTCCTTTTTAAAATTACCATAGCGTTTCAGACAGGGTGTGTGCAGAACAGTGGGCACTGTGTAACTATCACCAGACCTGTTTTCTATAAATCTGCATGGGGGAAGGCCTCCTTCCACCCCAGACTTTTCCACACACCTACCTGGTGATACTGTGTTGTGCATATTCAAGCGTGATTCACATTTCATCCATAAATCTTATATATGATTTTATGTGTTTATACACTAAGTATATCTTGTATATCTTTTCTAGTTTTTTCCACTAATGATTGACTTTGAGATTTACCTGTGTTGATTCCTGTAATTTATTCATGTCAGTTGTTATGTAGGAGCCCCCATATGAGTCATTCAGGTTTCTCATCCTGTTGTACAGTTAGGGTCTCTGGTTTTCACCAGCTGAGACTCCCCGTGTCACTCTAGTCGTCTTGGAGAAACATTTTTCTTCGCACAGACACCCAGAAGTGGAGGTGCAAGGTCCAGGGTGTGTACACTAACTCAGCTCTGCTAGAAAGGGCCAGAACCAGCCCAAAGTAGTCGCAGCACCTCCATCCCGGGCAGCATGAGGAGAATGGTAAGGGTTACCGCAGCTTAGTCAGCACAGGGATATCAGAAATTGTTTTTTTCAAGCAAATTTCTGAGAAACAGCATTTAATTTGCATTTCTGAGAAGTATAAAGTCTATTCTGTGTATCCATTCGTTCGCTTTGTCCTCTTTCTCTGTAAATTTTCTGTTGGAAATTATTTAGTTTTTTATTGGGTTTTATTGTCATTTCTAATCAACCTTTAGAAACAAAGAGTTTTTCAAATATTTGGCAGCATGATCTAACAGTGCCTTTTAGGTGTGTTTTCCCTCCTTTAGTTACACACCAGTGTGGACCATTGGCACATAATCAAATATGTCAGGCTTTTCCTTTAACATGTGCTTTTTTGTTTGAAAAATTTTCCCCACTACTATGTCAGTAATCTTCTGTTGTGTTGTAAACATTTTTACAGTTTTTCTTTTCATGTATAGTTCTTTAAGCCATCTGCAGTTGATTTTTATTTGTAGAAGAAACCTAATTCTTTTTCTATATAATGAGCTGATGAAAATCCTTTCCAGTTAATATCCGGTGACTGACAGTGTTGTGTCTCATACCCAATCCCTCATCTATTCATTGATCCATTTGTGTATACTATCATAGTATCACACTTCTACTTATAATGACTTAACAGTAAGTCAGTAGCTTTATTTTCCTACAAGATTTTCTGGAATCTTTACTTTTTCATGTAGACCCGCTTCCTAACTTCCAGTGGTGTGGTGGGTAGAATATCTGATGGGATTTTGATTGAGATAGTGTTGAATATATAGATGAATTCCTGGACAATTAACATATTTACCATAGTCAGGCTTCCCATAATGCCTAGCTTCATTTATTTGTGGTCTATTTTGTCTTCTGTAATTTTCTCCATAAATGTCTTGCATATCTTATACATTGTATAAGGTCTAGGTTTTAGTTTCCAGCATCCCTCCTGAATTCTCTTAGCTAGTTGTAGTCTGTTGAACCTCTTGTCGCTTTCAGGTATTTATATCATCTTCATATGTTTCTTTCTTCTATTTCAAGCCTATGCCTTTTAATATGGTCTTTAACAGAAGCTGTAGCAACTACTGTTCTGGTATAGTTTTGATTTTACAAAGAGTGCTTCTAATATTTGATGAATGAATATAATATTGTTTAGCCAGGCGTGGCACCGCACGGAGACTGAGGCTTAATAGTCTCAGATTCAAGCCAACTTAGTGAGGCCTGGTCTTAAAAAATAAAAAGGGGGCTGGGGATTTAGCTCAGTAGTTTCGCTGCCTGCTGCGCAAGCACAAGGACCCAAGTTTGATCCCCAGTACAAAAAATAAAATAAAGTAAAGTAAAATAAAATAAAATAAAAATTAAGAGGCTGGAGATGTAGCTTAGTGATAGAGCACCCCTGGTTCCACCCCATTACCATGAATGAATGAATATTGTTAATTGTAGACTTTTGTTAAATGCTTTATATTTCTTGTTTTCTGGAAGTTTTCTTCTTAAGCAAATGTCAAGGTTTATCAGATGCTTTTTGTTTCCCAGATAAGAGTTTACAGTGCATACCTGTCTTTAACACTTCCTCTAGGCTAATCAGCACATGACCCACTGAGGCGAGACCTCTAGGCAGAGGAGCCCAGGAAAGTGTACCTGACTCCAGAGTGATGGATCCGTGCTCGGTTGGAGTGCAGCTTCGCACCACAAACGAGTGCCACAAAACCTACTACACTAGGCACACAGGCTTCAAGACTTTGCAGGAGTTGTCGTCCAATGATATGCTTTTACTTCAGCTCCGCACCGGCATGACGCTGTCTGGGAACAATACCATTTGCTTCCATCATGTAAAAATTTACATCGACCGGTTTGAGGATTTGCAGAAGTCATGTTGCGACCCATTTAACATACATAAAAAGCTGGCCAAAAAGAACCTGCATGTCATTGACTTGGACGATGCCACTTTTCTGAGTGCAAAATTCGGAAGGCAGCTGGTGCCTGGTTGGAAGCTCTGTCCGAAGTGCACACAGATCATCAATGGAAGTGTGGATGTGGATTCTGAGGACCGCCAGAGAAGAAAGCCTGAGTCTGATGTATGTGTAGCACTCATGTTTGCTGCCAGATGGCTTCTGCAGTATGGAAGGTTACCTACCTATGAGGGAATCAGTTGATGCCATCATCCATTAGCAAATGTAAATTTTAAAAGGCAGAAGTAAAGTAGGTGGTGTTTCACAATGTTTCTGTGCACCTGAGGTCAAGATTGGGTGATAAAGTAAGTTTGGGAAAGAAAACAAGTGAGCCCAAGACCCCAAGCTGTACTTCTAGTGCTTAGACATTCCGAGGGGCTTATAGAGCATTCTGTCAAAGCCAGGACTGGCACACTTGGTTTCTGTTCTAATAACTGAAGTAATCAGAATATGCCAGCCAGCAGGGGGCCATGTGCCAGGAAAAATTCCTCTTTTCATGAAGGACTTGGAGACCACTGCTGTAAGGCGTGACCAGAGAAGTGATTTGTAATTCTTTGTTTTCATTTCAGTCTCTCTCCTTTGGTACTGTTGCATTCCTGTTTGAGATTTTAAATATTTGTGAGTTTGATTTGCTTCCAGCTGTTGTCCTGGTCAGGACTAACTTAAGGACCCCGTGTGGTCAGAGGGCATACATTTCCACACTAAAGTGTTAATAATATGCCTACATGCACATCATTTAACCTTCAAATCAGAACAGCCTGATTTCACAAAGCTGTCTTTCCTGTAGAACAAGGTCAAGTGTGTTAAAATTCACATCTCAGAATTTTTACATAACAATCATTTCAAAATTCTTTGGTGGAATGGCTTTTCAACTTTTTTCCTTTTAATCAATAAACCAATTTAAAGAGCAATTAGTATTTTAAATCATATGTATTATTTCCTTTTGCTCTCTTTTCACGGGGACATCTCCAGGTCCCAGCGTTGTCTCTAGTTCATTATATTTTTGTAAATTTTTACCTTTGCTAGTGGTCCATGTTTGCAGTGTGCCATCACAGAGCTGGCACAGGTGTTCTTTTTCCCTGCTGACCGGCACTGTCATTTTCCCTGCCTTCACCCGGCCTCTCATTGCTCTGTTTTGCTTCCCCACCCCTCCTTTACTACCTCATCTTGACCTGATGTTTATGAAAACATTGGGAAACACCATTTACTTTTGCCTCCCCAAGTGACAAATGCTCAAGCACAAAATTTTATTTTACTAAACTTTTTAAAAAGTATTATAATACAATTTCAGAATTTGAAACCATATTCTTTCCCCACTCTGAAGGACCCAGGATTGCTCCCAGGAGCCTCCATGATGCACCGTTAGCTATAGTTTTTTCTCTGCCTTCTCCACGGGGACGGCAGCTGGGACAGGTGCCCGCACAGGTGCCAGGTCTCTGCAGCTCCTCCTGTGCCACGGACTGTGACGAAAATGCTTTCAGTACATTAACCTGTACATTTGGAATGTAGTCCCAAGTGATGTAGATTTTCCTGCTCTCGGCCTCTGAAACCATTTTCTAGAGAGACAGACAGGGTGTGTGTGTCTTCCCCCAGCTAAGCAGTAATCTGGGTTAACAGTAACGTTTACTTCCTGTCTGATACCAAGATGTGAGTCACTCATTTGCTTGCCTTTATGCAGGGAAGAACTGCTAAAGCTCTGCGGTCTCTCCAGTTTACAAACCCAGGAAAGCAGACCGAATTTGCTCCGGAAACTGGAAAAAGGGAGAAGAGAAGGCTCACGAAAAACACACCCGGTGGTTCAGACAGGTGGGTGTGTGCTGACTGGCTCTTCACAGCCACCTGGTCCTTTGTTTGTCTTTAAGCTTCGAGTTTTCCCTGTAGACATTTTAAATTGGATGATAAGGAATTAGAGGGCCAGGGATTTAGCTCAGTGGTTCCGCCACCTGCCCCGCAAGTGCAAGGACCCAAGTTCAATCCTGGTACCAAAAAAAAAAAGAAGAAGAAGGAATTAGTAAAAAAAACCTCCAATGGTCTGTCTTGGTTTTATTCATATAAAATTAAAACATCTCTTTTAACTCAAGGTTTGTTTCTAAGAAGGTAGCAATAAAGTGGGCAAGATACAACAGAAACATACACCTGAGAATTAAGGTATTGCACATCTTGACAAGCAGTGATGATGCTTTATCAGTAGGTGTCTGAGTGGCTGCCAACAGGTAATTACATGATGGAAATACAAGATTGATTTTTATTTTTTGCATGTCTGAAACGGAAGCAGTTCTGTTACTATCAACAGAAATGAATGAGAGAACTAAATTGTTTAAAATATGACTTTAAATTGAATGTTTCTAAAATATAAATTGCAAACAAATGTTAGTATAATATTCAGAATTATTATTTATTTTTTTTTGGTACTGGGGATCGAACTTACCTTGCACTTTTGAGGCAGGCGGCAGCACCACTGAGCTAAGTCCCCGGCCCATTCAGAATTATTTTTAAGTGCAGTGTACATTTGTCCACATCACATTAATTCCATCTGTTAAAGTTTTCCATTAAGAGATTTATATATATATTTAGGCCAGATTTACTAGTGACCTATAAAGTAAGAAATAGGTTAATTACATTATAAAAACCTATAGGGTAATAAACTGTGATCAGAGTAAAAACTTAATATTCACAAAGCAGCCATGAGATTGGTAGCCAGTAAAATGAGCGACTAGTAACTGTTTTCTTGGTTTATAGTAAAGGAAAAATCAATCGTTTTAACAGAAATAAACTTACTGGGCCAGATTTAGCTCGGTGCCGCCACCTGCCTCACAAGTGCAAGGACCCAGGTTCGATCCCCGGTACCAAAAAAGAAAAATTTATTTTGGGCAAGTTCTTACCCATCTTTTGTTGAGTTAACACTGCAGAGGCAGTCAGGCTTTTCGGACCTCAGCTCTGGGAGTTAGATCACCTTTCCTGTAAAGTTGGCTCGCTGGCTGTGGAGGAGGCCTGGGGGGCTCTGCCTCTGTAGCAGGACCTCATCCAGGTCCAGATGTTACCTCCTTAAATATTTGTCGTTAACTCAATTTCGTGTGAGGTGCAACCGATTGTGATTCTCTTACAGACAAGTCATACCAGCCAAGAGCAAGGTCTACGACAGCCAGGGCCTGCTCATCTTCAGCGGGATGGACCTGTGTGACTGCCTGGACGAGGACTGCTTGGGCTGTTTCTACGCCTGCCCTGCCTGCGGGTCCGCCAAATGTGGAGCCGAGTGCCGCTGCGACCGAAAGTGGCTGTACGAGCAAATCGAGATCGAAGGGGGAGAGATCATTCACAACAAACACGCTGGGTAGTTCAGGATTCCATACTGGGCTCGTTAGGGGTCCACGTTTCCAAAATTCTGTTACTCTTGAGACACATTTTAAGCTCCATAGTTAAATAATAAAGACTTGAAACTGCTCAGTGTGTGCCGACGTGTCTTGGCTTTTCTAAGATTCCTTTGATGTAAATTTAGGTGGGTGGTTTCTCCTGTGTAGTCGGTATAAACTAGTAGGGTGCAGGTAGTCCTCACCTTGCACAGTCCCCAGGGCACCGAATTCAGTGACCCGGTTTAGCTAAGTAGCACCAGCCTCCTGACAGCGGGACTCCGATTTCAGGGACCACAGTGTGGCAGCTGTTGGCTGCATGAAGTCCAGGCTGACCAGGTCCACATGTCACCTGGGTCAGTAACACGTCTGTGTTACAGCGAGGAACCAATCATACTAACTTCTCTCAATGATTGGTCCCTGTGTGTCTATTTAGTTCACTCAGCAAAGCATTTACAAAGTTGTGTTGTCTCTGTCACCTATGTGATGTTTTACAAAAGTGAATGATTGAAAGCATTGGCCAACAAAGATGGAAGTGCAGCAAAGAAATGAATAAGTGAAGTTTGAATGGACTATAAATGGAGTTGTAGAAGAAATCGCTCATCGTAGAAGCACTGATAAACTGTTGCTGTTCCTGAGATTACAGATACACATCCAGAGGAACTTACTGAAGGCAAACTCCTCGAAATAAGGAAAGTGGTTGTGATGAAGATGACTGTCTCAGAAGTGCTCACAAAGAGCTTCGCAGGAGAAGTACTTCCTGTGGATACAGAAATACAAGACACACCATTGACAGCACAATACAATGGAGGAAGCTGATCCAAACTGAAAAGGAGTGAAGAGTAGGACAGGTTACTGGTGTAGGAAAGATGCCTACTCAGTATTGCAAGTTACCAGAGGACAGGCACCTCGCCCTGGGCAGCATAGCAGTTTAGAACCTGTCTCAAAACAGAAAAAGGCAAAAAACATGCTGGAGCCATAACTTGGTCCAAAAGACTGGGTTCAATCCCCAGTACTGATGGCAAAGCAGCACTGTAATTCTCAATGTTTAACTTGCATTTTCTTCTGCATTTATAACTGACCAACTTTTAGAATTTTGAAAGGTTTTTAAATGTTATGAGACAATCCTAATTTTCCTCATTGATTTTCATGGCCATTTTAATGGTCCCACAAAGCCATACAAATGAGATCTCCACATAGCTGAGAACAAGGAATTTTCAGGGAAAATTGATTTTCATATAGCTGGCTAGCTGAGTGTTAAACTATTTTGGAAATAATATAGGTGCCTAAGTGCTAAAGTAGATATCTTCTTCTGACTTCAAATGAGAAATGTTAGTACTTTAAGCCTCTTGTTTATGTATGCATTCTTTGTGGAAATGTATTCCTGAGAACAAAAGACTTACTGCACAAGTATACATATAATACATAAACATACATTTTATCTGTGGTACTAAAATTGTATGGGGGATTAACTAGGACTGAGAAGTCTAAAAATGTTCCTTAAGAGAGTGATAATGGGAAAGTGGTGGAGAAACACTGGTTAAGGTAGAATATCAGTACACTTTTTGGAAATTGAATTTTGGTGATGGGACAAATAGTGTCTTCCCTCTACACTTCATGTTATGGAGTCCTCTTCCTGCCATGCCATTTTATCTAAAAGCTCTTATCACCTTGGACATTTTAAGTTTTTGTTTTCTCTAAAATAGTACCTCAGTTAATCATGTGAACTTTTAGCAGTTTTCTAAGCATTGAAACAGTTGTTTTTTCAGTATTGGAGATTGCACCGAGAACCTCTCTGAGCTACATCCCTAGCCTTCTTAAGACAGGGTCTTGCTAAGTCATATATTGCTCAGGCTGGACTTGAACTTCTGATTGACCAACCCCCTTGCCTGATCCTGGCAGAGTGCTGGGAATGCAGGCGTGCTCCACCACACCCAGGCTATTGAAACACTATGTTTGAATTGACCACCAGAAAGTCCTTTTTATATTTTTATTTCTCTGTCTTTAAGCACTGGTTTTACTATGATGGGATGGCATTTTTAACTTTGGGACTTGTAACGAGTTAGATCTAGTGTCCCGTGTCCAGAGGTGGGGATTTTGGAAGGTGATTGGGTCCCCCGGACACTGTTTATCACTGAGTGAATCCAGGCCCTCAGATCTAGAGGGGCAGGTGTTGAGGACACCACTGGGAGACTATTCTTGTCCCCAGCTCCTCCCTCTGAGCTCCTGGCTACCATGGGTTGAATCATGCTTCTCTGCCTTGGAGTTAGCCAACTATGGGCTGAAACCATGAGCCAAAATAACCCTTTCCTTAAAGCTCTGGGTGTCAGGTATTTTATCCCAGCAATGGGAAAGTAGAAAGACATTTAAATAGCATGTTTAAGGTACAATTTTTCATTGACCTGATTATCAGAATATCAAGTCCTTGATATGTTTCAACTGAGCACCGACTACAGAGGATATTTTAACTTTATGTACTTAAATCAGATGTTGACTGTTCACTTTTTTTCTAAATTAAGGAACTATTTTTTTTTACAGGGATACAAACCAATGTTATCTAAACTAGGATTAGATTTTAGTCTTTCTTTTAAGTATAAATTAGTACTGTACTTTGCTAAGGCTCTTCAGAGGAATAAATTAACATGCTAGACTTTCTTGTACTTAAAATACGAATGTATCTCCGATGAGCAAATGACCAGCTGCTGTAGCTCAGTATTCCTTAGAGTAGATCTGTGTTAACTTTTAAAGACAATAAGAACATTTCTTGAACAGTGTTGCTAATATTTGTTCTTCATGTACATTCTGTTATTTAAAATTACAGAAATAGAGAATACAGTGAAATCTGCATCCTTTTCATATTTTACATAAATATTCACAGTGGCTAAATTATTTTAGAATTATTTTAACCTAAAAAGCAGGGAAAAGTTAGACAGATACTTCTGCTCTGTGCAGGCCCCAGGAGAGAAGTTAATTTGAGACCATGAACATGGAACGTCACCGTGCTGGCCACAAACATGGAGTGAAAGTGCATGCACATGCTGAGCAGAATACGTGCTGCCTCGTTTGATCTTATTCTTTTTTTTTGGTACCGGGGATTGAACTCGGGTCCTTGTGCTTGCAGGGCAGGTGGCGGAACCACTGAGCTAAATCCCCAGCCCCACTTATTCCTATTTTTTTAAATAGCTAATATAAGTAGCTAATTTTTTTAAATAGCTAGTCTAAGAAAATAGCTATTTACAGTTGGAGTGACATACATAGAGTTCTTCTGCCTTTAAAATATTCTATCTAGTTCCATGTAAGTAACAAGCTCTTCTACCCTGTCAGCCTCTCTAGAGCTGCTCTCCTGCTCTCAAGCAAGTGAGTTTAGCAAATTTGGAAATACGCCTAAGTCTGTATATGCACAGTGATTTGTTAATAAAAATACAAATGAAGCCAGTGGAAGTGTCATCCTGGGCCCTGTAGAGCTCGGAGACTCCCGTGGAAGGCTGAGGAGATGTGAAGTATGGCCCGAAGGACACCTCACGCTCCCACAAGTGCCCCATGGCAGCGCCTCCACACGTGCGCCCCGGAGTGCAGAATGTTCTGTGAAGCGTTTGACTTTTGATGGTGAAGGCGGCTGTCTGAAATGTACTTCAGTTCGCTTTTGTTTTGTAACAACAGTCCTGTCCTTGGAAACACTTTGGTTGCTCTGAAAACTCAGGCCCCACTGTGGGATGGGTGACTGAATACTGGGGGCCGACAGCACACCCCTCCCATCTCCAGAAGGTCACGGAGCCACGGCCCACACAGAAGGCAACTTTGGTAATGAGAGATCCCCTCTGACAGTCACCCTGCTGGCGACACCTTAGAATCTCGCTCCAGTCCGGGACACCTCAGTGGTTCCTGACCCCTGCTGGTATCTCCGTGAACAAACTCACTGCTACTTCAGCTTAGTCTCTCATTGCTACATTAAACTATGGACACAGGATTACAAAATACCCTGCTGGAGTATTAAAAACAAATTCCTCAAAGAAAAATAATTTCCCTTTAGCATTCCTAAGTGTTGCCCAGCACCCATCAACTATAGTGGATTTCATTTTTAAACAGTGTAAGTGAGGACACATAAATATACATGGGCAGTTCTGGTTGAACTATTTTTAAACTAGAGATACTTTGGAGAAATAATGCTTCTTTTTCTGTGTGTGTATGGTACTAGGGATTAAACCCAAATCTTTCACACTAAGCTACATCCCTAGGCCTTTTAATTTTTCTATTTTGAGAAGGCTCTGTCTGTGTCACTAAGTCGCCTACACTGGCCTTGAGCTTGCTGTCCTGCTGCCTCAGCTTCCCAGAATTCTGGAATTGCAGGCGCGTGCCCCCAGTCCAGCACTTATTCATTGTTGGGTTTTTTTTAGAAATATCAGACACCATTGAACACTTAATTTGAAGGTGTAATAGGCTTCTGCATAGTATTATTATACCCCAAGTTGTGGGCTGTGCATAATGGTATTGTGAGGACTGACTAATCAACATAATTTTACTCCCAGAAATTAAAGGAAGTTTACCAGTTAGAGCAGATTATTAATTCAGTTGTGATAATAATACATGTTTAAATGCAAAAGGTAAATTTAAAAGAACTTAAAATTTGAAAGTATTTCATTATAGCTCTATGAAGTGGTACAACTATAATGTACTGTTTTTTCACCTCTTGAATGATTTCTTTGTTAAACACTTAATGATTAAATACTTCATTTCATATCACTACAATATGTCAGCCAGCTTTCCATCACTGTAGCCAATACCTGAGATGATTGGCTTATAAAGCAAAAAGGTTTACTCTGGCTCACAGTTTTAGAGGTTTCAGTCCATGGTCAGTGACCTCATTGCTTTGCAGCATGTCACAGTGGGGAGCAGGTGGCAGAGCAAAGCCACTGAATGCATGGCTAGGGAACTAAAGAGAATAACAGAAGGAGGCCGAATCCTACTGTCCCCTTCAGGGGCACATGTCCAGTGACCAGAAGCCCCCCAGCTTCACCTGTGAAAGCTTCCACCACCTACCAGCAGCACCAGTCAGGAGACCAGGACTTTAACAAGTGAGCCTTTCAAAGAAGTTCCAGT